TCATCTCTTAGGAATGTGATACAAAGTTTAAGCATCAATAACACAAAGATTGATGTTCCGAAGTTCGATGGCAAGATCAATTTCGGTTTATGGATGTGCCAGGTGATGGATGCATTGGATGCACAGAATTTGGAGGAGACTCTTGAGTTATAAGAGAAACCTGATATGGAGGACAAGGTTTGGAAGAAGATGAACAGTAGGGCTTGTAGAGTTATTCGGTCATGCTTGACGTCGGATCTTATTTATGACGTGATGAATGAGACATCAGCGAAGATAATATGAGAAACACTCAATGAGAAGTATCTTACGAATAGCATTGAGAATCGACTTTACTTGAAAAAGAGGTTTTACCAGTTCAAGATGAAGAGGAGAGTTTCCATCAGGGAGCATATTAATAGTTTCACGAAGCTACTTTCAGATATGGTCAATGTGGATATCATGATTGAGGATAAAAATAAGGCGATGTTACTTTTATGTTCGTTGCCCGAGGATGATTATGGTACGTTCGTTCTCACTATGATCAATGAAAGAACAACAATTAACTACAATGAGGTGACCTCGGCGTTGGTGAATTATGAGCTAAGAAAGAGTGATGGTGAACCATCCGAGAAGGCATCAGGAGATGCATTAGTAGTTCGAGGCCGTACTCCAAACCGCCGCCAAGACAACCGATCAAAATCAAAGAATAGAGGTGCCTATAAGAGTGTTGGTAGAAATCAATATCGGTATTGTAAAAAAAAAGGACATTGGAATATTGACTGCCCAAAGTGGAAGGAAAAAACGAGAAAGAACAAGAGGAAAGTTGTACAAGCTTTAGAGGTGAATGTTGCAAAAGGTGTTAGCAAACATTCAGATTCAGATTCTTTAAGTTATTCATGTCCTGCACTACCGTCAGTTTGCTATGCCGACTTTACGGAGTGGATGTTGGATTCGGAGCCACATATCATATTTGCCCTAGGAGGGATTGGTTCTCCAGCTTTAAGGAGCTGGAAAGAGGGGATGTCATGCTTATGGGTAATGATCACGTATGCCCTATTAGTGGTATTAGTTCAGTCCGGATCAGGATGTATGATGGTGTGGTGAGGGAGTTGAAAGAAGTAAGGTTTGTGCCGTAGTTAACGAAGAATATCATTTTCTTGGTACTTTAGAGGTAGCTGGTTATCGGGTGACCTTTGATGATGCTACAGTGAAGGTCACAAAGGATTCTATGGTGATGATGCGAGGAGTCAGTGAAAACTTTCTATACTATTTGAAGGGCAAGACAGTTACAGGGGGTCTGGCAGATTCTATCATTACAGAGAAGGACACTATCACCCTATGGTACATGAGATTAGGACACACAGGTGATAAGTCCCTACAATCATTAGCGAAACAGAGACTATTGAAATGTGTTAAGACTTACAAGATGGAGCTGTGTGAGCATTGTGTACTTGGAAGAAGACTAGAGTGAAGTTTAACACTGCTATTCACAACATCCAAGGTATATTAAATTACATTCACACAAATGTTTGGGGTCCTTCCAAGCACACGTCACTTGGTGGGGCCAACTATTTTGTCACTTTTATTGATGACTATTCCAGGAGGAATTTTATACCCTATGAAGCATAAACATGAGGTCCTGGATGTTTTTGTGAAATGGAAGAAGAAAGTGGAGTTGCAGACAGGTAGAAAAGTGAAGACTCTATGTTCAGATAACGATGGAGAGTATAAGAGTGATTCTTTTCTGCAGTTTTGCTGGGATCACGGCATTAGGCGACACTTCACAGTTTGAGAGACACCGTAACAGAACAGGGTGGCTGAAAGATTGAATCATACCTTGCTAGAGAAGATACGATATATGATAACGCAGAGTGGATTACCTATATCCTTTTGGGCCGATGCGTTAGTTTATGCGAGTCATCTCGTGAACAGGTTGTCGTGCACTGCGATATANGACTCCTTTGGAGCATTGGTCTAGTTTGGTAGCTAGTGACTATGATTCGCTTCGAATATTTGGATGTCCTACTTATTACCATATTAGTAATGGTAAATTGAATCCGAGGATGAGGAAAGCAGTCTTTGTGGGATTTAGAGATAAAGTTAAAGGCTTCAAGTTATGGAATCCACAGGATAAGAAGATAGTTATTAGCAGAGATGTCATATTTGATGAGGCGTACATGATGAGGCCTCAAGTTCCTCAGAAGGTAGAGGAAGACCAAATTCGAGAGATATCATAGCAGGTGGAGGATAATGTAACTCCACCCACTCCAGATAGCATTGTATCCATTGAGGCTCCTGCAGAGGTGACATTAGGAGGAGATAGGATGACAGTCGGCCAGATAGAGGATACAGTGAATTGTGAGACTCAGGAGCAGGGTCATGTTCAGGAGTCTACTGTAGCGAATAGACTTAGAAGGGTGATTCGTCGGCAAGCTAGGTATAATGATGTCATGGTCGCATATGCATTATCAGTGAAGATCATTGATTATATGGTTCCATTCACATTCAAGGAGGCAGAGTCTAGCCTCGATTCGATCAGGTGGAGGGAAGCTATGGAGGAGGAGATACGGTCTCTTCATAAGAACAACAATTGGCAACTTGCAAAGCTACCTAAGGGTAAGAAAGCTATTGGTTGCAAGTGGGTATACGCGAAGAAGGAGAGATCTTCTATTGGGGACATTAGGTACAAAGTCAGATTAGTTGCCAAGGGATATGCACAGCTTGAGGGCATTGATTACAACGAGGTATTTTCACCCGTTGTGAAGCATTCGTCGATTCAGATTTTATTAGCATTGGTGGCACAACTGGATTTAGATTTGGTCCAGATGGATGTTAAGACATCCTTTCTATATAGAGATTTAGATGAGGAGATCTACATGACACAATCCTTAGGATTAAAAGCTGCAGAAAAGGAAGATTTGGTTTGCAAGCTGAAGAAGTCTCTTTATGGTTTGGAGCAATGCCGGAATAGTGGTACAAGAGATTTGACAACTTTATAATTAGCCATGGGTACACGAGGAGCCCATATAACCAATGTGTTTACATGCACGAGCTACAGGATGGTGAGCACATATATTTGCTTTTATATGTTAACGATATGCTTATTTCTTCCAGGAATTCTTTGGCTATTCGAAAGTTAAAAGAGGAGCTGTCATCCGAGTTTGAGATGAATGATCTTGGAGAAGCAAAGAAGATATTGGGTATGAAAATCGAGAGAGACAGGGTGAAAGGGAGATTGAAGCTTACACAGAGGAGTTATTTGCAGAAGATGTTGAAGAAATTCAGCTTTGATGGTAATACAAAAGCAGTTAGCACTCCATTGGCTCCCCACTTCAAGCTTTTAGCTAAGATGTCACCTGTTTTAGTTGAGGACAGAGAATATATGTCGAAGATTCCATATGCCAGTGCGGTGGGTAGCTTGATGTATGTGAAGATGTGTACGAGACCAGATTTATCACAGGCCGTGAGCATGGTATCTAAGTACATGCACGATCCTGGGAAAGGTCATTGGGAGACTGTGAAGTAGATCCTTTGGTATATCAAAGGTACCGTAGATGTTGGTTTGGTATTTCAGAAGAATATGGAGACATGGTAGGATTATATTGGATATGTGGATTCAGATTATGCAGAGGGATCTTGACAAGCGCCGATCTACTTCTGGGTATGTGTTCACATTAGCAGGAGTACCAGTATGTTGGAGATGTACACTTCAGTCTACAGTGGCTCTCTCTACTACAGAAACGGAGTATATGGCGGTGACTGAAGCTGTTAATGAGTTTTTGTGGTTGCGTGGATTGTTGGAGGACTTGGGGATTGCATAGGAGACCCTTCGGGTATATTGTGATAGCATGTCGACTATCTATTTGACGAAGAACCAGGTTTATCATGCATGCACAAAGCACATTGATGTCAGATTCTACTTTGTTCGTGACGTATTGGATGATGGAGACGACATTTTGGAGAACATCCACACGAAGGACAACCCTGCGGATATGTTGACTAAAGTTGTTTCAGATGTAAAATTTGGTCATTGTTTGATGCTATTGAACATTCTTCAGTGTTGAGAGCCTTTGGAGGCCATTTGGGTGAGCTACATTCGGCTTGATTCCTTGGACAAGAGGATACGTAGGCAGTCATGTTTGATGCAGCCGGTTGGATTTGTTGATTTTGATGGGGGGGGGGGGGGTTGGGTGGGGGGGGGGGAGATTGTTTGAGCTCTCGTTTGGGTTCCTGACTTATTGTGGATTGCGTCCGTTGTCGTGGGTTGTTTCCACTTCGTCCTGGACACAACAAATAGGACATTTGGATGATTTGGTATCGGCTCAATTTGGTAGAAATGTTCACCGAGGTGGAGAATAGAAGAAATGGCGAGCACAGTGACGAAGATCGTAAGAAAAGACGAAGGAACATGTTTGGGTGCTGTGCGGTCAACCGCCAACGTGCACGAGGATGAATTCTGTTCAGTATCATGTCGCAGTCGACTGCGCTTGGTACGACGGTCAACCGTCAAAAGTCCAGAGACTCAGAAAAGTTTCTGTCGTTTTCACGGTTGACTGCGCATGGTGCGGCAGTCGGCCGTGAGTCGGGTCTAAGATGGGTTTTGATTTTCAACCCGTTTTATTTCTGAGTTGATATATAAGTCTAATCCTAATTAATTAGGGTTAAGTAAGGACGTTTTGAACAGTCTTTGAGAAGGGATTATTACATCCAAGTGTGAGAGATTTGTGAGAGATCTAGAGGCTTTGTTTTAGGGTTTACTTGGTGAAATTTGTAACCCTATTTGTATTCTCTTGATTTCTAATAGTAAGAACTCCCCCCTCATTGCCCCGTAGACGTAGGTAACTTCCCGAACCACGTAAAATTCGTTTGTCTTGCTGTGATATTATGTTTGGCTTATTTGGTTGTGAATTATCTCGTTCTTATTCGTGTGGTTATGAGCTCCGATGCGCACAACAACATGAGCATTGATCAAACTAAATATCATGTATTACTCATTTAACATTTCCTATAATATAAGTTACCTCCATCTGTAAAATCCAGTTTTGAGCGCCAGAGCCAAATCCTCTATGGAGGTGATATCCTGGCGGGCTTCCATCCAAACAAACTGCAAGCGATATACATGCAAAAAAAATAAAAAAAATAAAAAAAATAAATAAAGAGAGAGAGAGAGAGAGAGAGAGATAGAGAGAGAGAGAGAGAGAAAAGAAAAGTACATAAATCAATAATAAAATGGCTAAGCATTAGAAAACTGCTCTTCACTTTGGATGATTATTAGATTATCGGCAAAACTTGTAAAATATCAGAAACCCCCTTAAGTATGAAATTATTAAAAAAAAAAATCCTTCAAGAGGGGTTATCAGGAAACCCTTTTTAAGTTTAATATTTTATCAGAAAACCCTTTTTAAGTTTAAGATTTTATCAGAAAACCCTCCTAATAGTGTTACTGCAATTTTCCCATGGGTGAGTAAAATCACACATGGGAACATTTCTACCCATGAAAATTGTGGATCACACTTTAAGGGGTTTTCTGATAATATGATAAAGTTAAGGGAGTTTTCTAATAATTGATATTTTGAAAGGTATGGGGTTTATTTGATAATCCTTTGAAGTCTGACAACCCCTAACTTAAGGGGGTTTTCTGATATCTGATATTTTGAAAGTTATGGGGGTTATATAATAATTGTTCAAAGTTAAGGGATTTTTTCAAATGATTAGCCCAAAAAAACATATGGGCTCAGTAACATTATATATAGTAACTAATCTATACTTCTATAAAAATACCAATTTAAATTTTTAAAATTTTTTTTGTCCTCTCAAACTTTGATAAATTCTAACTTTGGCATTATCTCTAATTAATCTTTCATTAAATAAATATAACCATTTATTAATTATACACCTCACCTTCCTAACTAATTATAATTATCAATAATATTATAACTATTAATTATTTAATAATATAATAAAATAATTTATAAAATAAGTATACACAATTATTAATAGTAGCCAATTAAATTATTTTTATAATAATTATTTATGAACTATAATAAAATAATTAAAATAATAGTTTAAATAAAATAATATATTACTATATACTATCAAGAATAATAATTTAATAAAATAAATAGAATAAATATTTAATCACATAAATAGTGTAATTATTTTAATAATATCACATAAATTATGACTTACACTAATTATTTAGTACTATATTATTAAATAAATTAAATAAATAATTTAATATTATTTTTAGAATATTTTCTCAAAGATTATTACATGATACTGAATAATCCATACTTACTAACAGTTGAAAACAAACTTTTTTATAAAAAATATTATTTAATATTAATAATAGCACTATAATTGTTAATGATAGTATAATAAAAATTTATAGTACTAAATTATATAAGAGGATAATTAAAAAATTAAATTAGATAAATATTTGATAGTATATAGTTGTATTATTATTTTAATAGTATTAATTGAACTAAAAGTTATAATATTAAATAAGGTAAATTATAGTAAACCCCCATGAACTTTCAGCATTTCGTAGTAAATAGACTCTATGAAGTTTCAAAATCACACTAAACCCCTAATAATTTTTGTAGAAAACCCCCAATATCTTTTAGATAAATTACACCAAACCTCCACTAACTTTCAAAATGCCTTTGTATGCCATTTTCTGGTTCTAATTTATAAGGATTATCTGCAAAAGTTAGAAAGTTATTGGGGATTCTTTAAAAGAGAAAAGTTTTTAGGGCTTTAGTGCGATCTTGAAAGTTCATAGGGCTGAAAGTTCATAAGGGTTTAGTGTAATTTACCATATTAAATAATTATAATGAGAAATAAATATCACAATGTTGCTGGTATTAAGTTTAACTATCTAGTGAAACATCAGGAAAAAGCTAAAAAGATCAATGCATCTTAGTTAATTTAGTGTTAAGTTAGCAGCTTTCAAGTTGGAGGGGCATATTTAAGAGAACGTATAAATTTGACAATATTATTTAATTTGGGGGACTTATTTAAAAAAAGGTTAGCACTGTGCAATCATTATATGAAAACCTACAATTAAAATAACTATACTAATAATAACTAATTCATACTTTTCTTTTTAAACAATTTCTTTTTAAGCAATCTTATTATACAATTTTATTTATTAACACATAATTTTACTATTTAATAAAAAATTCAAAACTTAATATATGCACGTTCACGTGCAAAGCACGGCATTGTACTAGTTATCTACTCTACTCATCCCTTTTCTATTCCATTGAAAGGAATGAGTTACATTAATCAAAGTACTACGTTAGATTTATTACCTGCTCCTAAAGAGGTAGCATTATGGATAACCGTAAGGTTAACGACTAATTGAGAATTGATTTTCTGAAATGAACTGAATACCGCTGACATGAACAAAACCATCCATACTGCTGACTTCATCTTCTGCCAAAATTTTGAGGAATTCAACAAAAGATTATAGAAAAAATGATTTGCAAGAAGAGCGATCAGGAAGAGAGAGAGAGAGAGAGAGAGAGAGAGAGAGAAATAATAACAAACAAGGATTGGATTCAAAAAGGCGGAAGGGTAAAGCTTTTTATAAGAAAACAAATGGGTCAGTCAATAATGACTCACGATCACAAAACAAACGCCTTTTGATTTTTGTTTGGTTGGTCACTGAGTACTGAAATAAATATAGTTTTATGTAAGGCTTAACTTCGGGGGTTAGTCACCTAGAACTTAAAATTAGAACTGGGATAATCTGTGGGATAAATTTTTAAGGTGTTAGTCATATAGAACTAAAATTAGAACAAAATTTTACAGTGTTAGTCAAGTAGAACTCTAACAAAATTAGAATTGGGATAATGATACAAAATTATCCCACTTTTTTATTTTTCTATACAAAAATGAGAGTTCTAGTCTCTCAAATTGTTCCATGTTTTAGATTGGAACTAGGTGGTAAAAAACTAGAACTCGTATTTATTTTTTTTATTTTTTATATTTCTTTTTTTCTTTACTTCTTTTTTATTATGGCTATCACCATCATTAGACCATCATTATAATAATAATTGTCAATATCTTATAGTCTAACCAAAAGTTATTTAATAGTAACGAACATTATTGTAAACAATTATCAATCAATAATAGTAAGTTTAAAATATATAAATAGTATTTATATCTTCAAAATGCATAAATATATATTTCATGATTATAAAAATTTATCCCACATTATTTTATCAAAATATCCCGTTTCACAAAATTGTTCCTATTTATCCCACTAAAATATCCCACTAGCGAAAAATTATTCCACTTTAACAATTATCCCATTTTGCATGAAAATGTTCCAATTGACTAACACCCCTTCGAGTGATTATCAGATAACCTTCCAACTTTTAAATATCATAAAACCCTCCCTTAACTGAGGGGTTATCAGAAAACCACATTAAGTTTAAGATTTTATCAAAACAACCTCCAAACAGCGTTAACCACCAATTTTCACTAGCGAATGTATGCGCCACATAATTTTACTCACCCATGTAAAATTTACAGTTTTCTGATGTTTAGCTAGGTAGGTGGAGATTTTCTGATAAAAAAACTTAAACACGAGTTATTATTATTATTATTATTATTATTATTATTATTATTTTGAAAGTTACGAGAGGTTATATATTTATCCTTTATGTACTTCTCTTTAAGCTATCATTTTATGCTCTTTTTTCATAACTTTATCCATGTCCCCTAACTTTCAAACCCCGCGCAATCGTTATTTGGTGGCGCATGCAGTTTGAATGAATGTTATTTGCTTTCATGGCAACTGAGAGAGTATTAATAAGACACGTTCTTTGATGTATTAAACAAAACGGGATAGCGACTTAAAAAATGAAAGGGCAGAACTTTTGATGAAATTTCAATGAGTCTTCCACAGGAATTATACAACCTATGCTTACTTTTCTCTCCAAAATCTAACGAGGTGGGGGATGGAGGCTCGGAAAACTTGAAAACCAAACTCTGTCAAGTTGCCTTCTAAGTTTTCTTGAACGCTATTCTCAAGCTCATTTGGTCTATGGCAAATTGGCAATCCATTGAACCTGCACGTTCCTTGACGTAAACAAAACAGCACAGCAACTTATTAAAAAAAAATGAAATAATTGAAGTTAAAGGGCAAAAGTTGATGAATTTTCAATGAATCTTCCAATGGAATTATGCAACGTATGCTTACTTTTCTTCGGCAAAATCTAATCAGTTGGGCGACGGAGACTCGGAAAACTTCAAAACCAAACCGTCAAGTCGCCTTCTATATTTTTTTTGAATGCTATTCTCTAGCTCATTTGGTGTATGACCATCCATTGAAATTACACGTGCCTTGGGTAGGCAGTCTGCAGAAAGTATAGAATGTTCAGCAAAGATAAGTTATACAAGAACGTGAGCCCCCAAAGATACTTGGATCATACTACACAAACCCAAGCTAATTAAGGAAGTGGGCTAGAGCATGAAGAAAAAAAATTCAAAACTCTAAGTAGGAGAAGACATAAACCGGGCGAAATACAATTCAGCACAGACCTAAAACTCTGTGTGACCCTAAACTAGTTGATGTAGGACGCATAACGAGTAAATTCATGGAAAAGTAGGGCCTTCACGAGTCAAATGCAAATATAGATGAATTATTAACTGGCCGCAGAGAAACAACCATTATATCTTCCAATTCGGAAGGCGGATTCTAACATATTATATATGAAAATCACCTATCTTGACGAGATGGGGTCAATTAGTTTAGCAGAATCCCACAATCCCATCAGTAACACCCGTTTTAGCAGGATTTCAGAAGTAATCAGCCTTTAGTTTATTTTAGTAATAAAGTTAGAGTCAATTTAGATTAAAAAATAAAATCAATTTTGACTTAATTAGGACTGATCTGTTTCATTTATTATAGGGAGTGTTTTAGGTAGTTCTAAATTGTTTCTTTCTTTTAGGAATTTTGTTCTTATTAGGAGTAGACTTTGTTTTTCTATTTAAGAAGAAGAATTGTAAACCTCATGAATCATATTACTTTTATCAATAAATTTCTCTTATTATATTCTCTTTGTGGATTCAAAGTTCTTTGTGGATTCGAAAATTGTTCTTTGTGGATTTAAAGAGCATCCATTGGTGGATTCTAAGGTTTATTACTTCCACGCTGTATTAATTGGTATCAGAGACTTGTTTCTCTAATCCGATGTTAGGCGATGAAGCCTGTGTAACCCGAATTGAGTTCAATGAGTTGAAGATGGGAGTTACTCAAATGAAGACTTCCATATACTGACTTGCATTGGCAGTGGGCCGTCTGAATCTAGGACGAGTTCGAAATCGCCTTAATGGTCACCAAAGAGGAGATCCGACTCTATAAGACAAATCCTACAACGATAATTGTAGAGGCTACCAAAGAAAAAGAGAACTATGATGCTAGAGAATTAAAGATATCATCCTTTAATAGAAAGCTTCATGTTGATGATTTCATTGATTGGATTGATGAAGTGGATAGATATTTTGAGTATGAGATAATCCCAGAAGATTGAAATGTTAAATTAGTAGTTTATAGACTTAAAGGAAAAACATTTGTATGGTGGGATGAAGTATTGATAAATCAATACCATCAAGGGAAGGATTCGATTCAAATGTGGGCAAAGATGAAAAAATTATTGAGAAACCTTTTCTTGCCTTCTAACTACGAACAATATTGGGTGTCTTTGAAAGATTATTTTACCTTAGCCGACATACAGTCCATCTAGCGAAGAAGGTGGAGCGAGAACTTGTGTAGAACGACAAAGGACCTTCATCATGGATGTTTTTAGAGAGTTATTAAACAAGTTATGATTATGGAAAAACTAAGAAACCTCAATTCATCTTTGAGAAAGAGTCTGGATTTGTGAAGAGTACCCAAGAAGCAACAACAAAGACTTCATTAATTATGTCAATCATAAACTAGAGGCATTTAAGATACAGATTGCTATGGAGAAGGTTTCTCTAGTGGCAGACAACGGGACACTCATCACTGAAAAGGAAGATTCTGCCACCATCAGGATTCATCCTAAGGTTCCTAATGTTGATAGTGATATGTTAATAAAGACATATATGTTGCATGATATCGTGAGTGATGTTACACATATTAATATTGTCCCCATGGAGGATAATGATAAATTAGAGAGTAAGGCAATTGATGATATATGTGAGTTATTTGGTGGAGGGCTTGAGGCAAATGAGATGAAAGAATTGCTTATGGAGTACGAGGGAAAATTTCTCTCTAGAAGCAAAGGTTTGTTGGCCTTTTTGTTTTGATGATGTTTTAACAAACGATTTACAACTAATATTGTTTGTCTAGTATTTGTGTTTTTGTATTTATTCTAGACAAATAATCAGTTGGAGGTTGGATGAAATTGCGTCATAACGATCATATCAAATAGAGGTTGGTGGATATAATGGTATGAAGCCATTTGCAATTCAAGTCAAATATCCAAGATCAAGCTTCATCCGTAAAGTTTACCAAGACGAGCTCAAATTGAAGATCAAGATAGCTTGAGTAATTTAGTTTTAAGTTTATACTATGTGTGTAGATACTTTAAGCTCAATCATATACACACATACACGTTCATGTTTATATGTGCTTATTATGATTTCATTGAAATCAAGTTTTGATTATCATGTTTATTATTTTGAAAGATTGCAAAATATGTGTATTTTTGATTAAATATTGTATTCTTAGTTTATAGACTTAATAATACTAGTTTACATCTTTTCCTAAGTCTATAAACTCATTCAAAAGTTTTCAATATATTGTTTAAGTCAAAATATCAAAAACATGTATTGTTTAGTTTTCATGTTTTTAGATTATTTTGTCAATATATTGTTTAAGTCAAAATATCAAAAACATGTATTGTTTAGTTTTCATGTTTTTAGATTATTTTGCAAAATGATAAGTTTTCACAATTGGAAAGTGCCACTTTTTCAAACATGTTCATTATCATGTTTATAAATATTTCCTAAAGTTTTATATTTTTTAGAATTTATTTGCTATTTTTAAAAGAGGTTTGGAAATCAGATTTACTGTTTGTTTATGGCTGATAACTTGTTATCAGTCGACTGATGGATCTTATCAGTCGACCGATTTTAGAAAGTGTAAAAGTTTCTATTTTTACGACTGATAAACTATCAGTCAACTGATGAGTTTACCAGTCGACTAATGAGGTCTTCAGTCAACCGATGAGCTGTGAGCTGCCTATAACGGTCAGCTCATCAGTCGACTGATATTGTTCATCAGTCGACTGACGGCCTCTAACGGCTAGTTTTTCTAATATTTTAGATTTCTATTTTTTATCTTTTTTCTTGGTTTTCTCTTAGTTTTGAGGCTTGTTTTATGATCCTATATATACCCCATACCCTATAACTTCTGAGAAAAATTAAGAAGTGTTTTAAACAAGTTTAAAAGGGTGTTTAAAGATTGTTTAAGTGTTTGTTTACAAGTTTGGTTTGTGAAGATTGTTTCACAAGAAGAGGAGATCAACTTGTTTGT